TATCGTATCGATATCGTATTTACATCGAAATGATATAGTAAAGATAAACTTAATGACCTCGATTCGATTATCGTCAAAGTATGGTAAAGTTATCATTAGAATTTTTTGAGTTTCTGTAAAGTAATAAAAATATGAAAATAAATACTTGAGACTTTATTATTATTCTATGTCTAATACTATTATTAGCTTGTGCTTTTACTATTAATAAAATTGCTAGAAAACTTCTAATTCAAACTATTATTAAAACTATCAATAACCATTTTGTAAAAGATGATACATTCAAAGACGTTAATGTCTGTTATATCAATTTTGTCAGATTTATGATATTTTACTTTGACTATAAGAAATTAATAAATATAGATTTCTCAATATAATTTCTTAGAAACTTTTTAACTTATTAATTACAAAGTTTATAAGAATAACATACAGTTCTAATAACACATTCTTTATGTAATAAATATTTATCTTAATGTTAAACAAGACTCATTTATATCTGTTTTTACTAAATATGACAAGATCACAAATGTTAAATTACAAATAAAAGGCATATAATAACATATATTACTTATGAAGATTTTAAATCTATTGAAATATTCTATATGCAATGATTATAGTATCTATACAATGATTGCATAAGAGTTTATTTCACTGACTTATATCTGATCAAATAAAACAAAGAAATAATATTCATATAGAATTTACCAATCTTTCTCTTTAGTATTATTCTATATAACCTTTAAGATAATATTATTATAGCTACTAAAGTAAAAAATTGTTATATTTTTAAGTTAAACAACTACAACTATAATTCTTTGTCATTTTTTATTTTGATACAACTGAGATCTTGAATATTACTATCAAAATCAACTATACTTTTAAAAATAATAAATTACAATAGTATCTAAAGCAAAATTCTATCACAAATGTGATTCTTCTAATTATATTATAATAACTTATTTATAAATCTCTTTTTATGAAAGAATAATATCTCAAATACTAAAAAACCATAATCTTAATTACTTTTGATGTAAAAGTTATACAATTAGTTCAAACTTGCAAATACTTAAGCTTTTATTAATAGAATTATCAATAATAAAAATAATCATTCTTATGAAAAGAATAATACCTTAGATACTAAAAGATCTTGATTTCAATTACTTTTAATGCAAAAGTTATATAATTAATTCAAACCTATAGGTACTCAAGCTTTTATTAATAGAAATACTCATAATAAAAATAATTGTTATTCTAATTCCTCCTAAAGTATAAATTACTTAATGTCTTATTTAATAAAGATAAAAGAAAAAACAAAGATTTAGGTTCTAATGATAACTTATTAAATAGTTTTATTCATAACTCTAACAATAATAATGATACCAACAACAAATTTAATCAATTTTAAATATGCTTACTGGTATGTAAAAAGTGATAATAGACTTAAAAACTCATATTCTTAAGTTAAAACAGTTTTAATTAACTTTCTCTCCTCTACAGCTAATATTTTTCTCATCTAATTTTCTATTAAGCCTATTGTTTCTTAAAGTAACTCTAGCTTTCATATAAATAAATGCATCAAAATTAATTATTTTTACTATTTACCTTTTTCAATTATAATCCTAGTACTCCCTTTCCCTATAAAAAGTTAAAATATGTATATTATATATAAATTATGTGTTTTTTATAAATTTATATATGTAAAATATATGTAAAATATATATTTATATAAAATCGATAAAAAAATTTATACTATTTACTTATATAATAAAATGTGTAATACTTCTGTTTATAATATTTTTTTCGAAAATTTTTAATAAAGTAAAAATATGTTAAAAATATATATTTTTATAAAACATATAAAATACACATATAAATTATATATATATATATATATTATATTTAAAATCTATGATTATGTAAAATATTATTCAAATATATGTAAATTATATGTATAATATTTTTTTTAGTATTTAAAAAAAATATAGATCAAAATTAATGATCAAAATAAATGATTATAATTAATAATCAAAATTAACAATTAAAATTAAAAATCAACGGTCAAAATTAATGATCAAAATTAATGATTAAAACTAAGAATAGAATTTCAGACTTGTTTTACTTGTTTTCTAAAAATGATAATTTTCCAGCTGATAATTTCTCTTTAAGGCTAAAAATTATATTATAATAATGAAGAATATTGATTTAAAAAGAAATAAACACATTTATTATTTTAAAATAGTAATTTTTCATATTTTATGGTAAGTAAAACGCGTTTGTTTACAAATTATATTTATTTATAATCAAGAAAATTTTTAAAAACTTCTTTTTAAAAATTTCAACAAAATATGAAAAACAAAATTATTATTGATGGTTTAATACAATCACAATCAATTACATCTTTTTTTATTTATAATTTAAAAAACAATAAAACTTTGAAAGAAAGTTTAAATAATATCCCTGACGAAAATAAAATACCTCAAAAAAACTCTAATGATATACCAAACAAAACACCAAATGAAATACCAAACAAAACACAATGAAATTCCAAATGAAAAAAATGAAAATGAAACTTGGCAATTAATAAATAATAATCTATCATCATTTATCAAAAATTGACATTTTTGCTATAAAGAAGGACATTAGGGTCAAGAATGTTCAGAAATTCCAAAAAATTTTCAAAATAAATGTTTTCGTTGCTGGATGAGTGGACATTTAGCTTGCGAATGCATTTATCAAATTTCACATAAACCTTTATGAATGAGAGATATGGAATATAAAGTATTTTTAAAAAATATAAATGAAAGAAAACTTGCTATTAAAAAGCAATTCGTAAGTATTTTTAAATATTATATTGTTATAATTGCTATTTTTGATATTTGATATTTATATTTAATTTTAATTAATATATAGGAATTATAATAATATTTTATTTTTTTTTTTTTTGAAAATATTTTTTTTAGAAAAATTCATAATAGCAACTGGGTCAAGAATTTTTTTTATTTTTAATCAAATTATTCTTTTTTTTAAAAAAAAAATTTATGATAGCAATTGGGTTGTGAATTTTTTTTTAAAAATCAAATTTTTATATACAAATAATTTTCTTACTTTTAATTTTAATTTTTTTTTAAAAAGTCAAAAATAAATAAATATTTCAAATGGTCATAAATAATTTATTATTATAAGTATAATATTAAATGTGATTTATTAATATCAGTTTGCGTTCAATATAACATTTTCTATAACATATAAATAACATATTTTAAATTATATGGTTATTATATCAAAATAAGAATTTTTCTAAAAAATAAGGAAAATGGTAAATTTCCACCTAAAAATCATTTCGATTTACTTACTTACCTTAGTTTCAAAATAAAAATATTTTCCAAAAAAAAAAAAAAAAAGTAAAAATTCCATCCAAAAGTCACCTTTAAATAATTTACTTTAGCTCAAAATGAGAATATTCTTAAAATTTTTTTTGGATAAATTCCAGTTTATACTGAATGAAAATAAATTAAAACTAAGTAACTAGCTTTAATTACTTACCTTTTTGTGATTATCAGTTTCTTCAATCATTGGACTGAAGTAAATCCTATAAAAAAGAATTTAATCTTTTTTTTAAAAAAAATAAAGTAAATAACTTCATTTACTTATCTAGATACTGGATTCTTCAATCATTGGATCGTTCTTAGGTAAATCCTATAAAAAAAAATTTAATATTAATGTTTTTTTAAAGAAATCAATTAATAACTAACTTCAATTACTTACCTTTTGTAGATATCGGATTCTTCAATTATTGGACTGAGGTAAGTCCTATAAAAAAGAATTTTAATGTTGATTTATTTCTTTTTTTAAAAAAAAATCAAGTAAATATCTACATTTACTTATCTAGATACCGGATTCTTCAATAATTAGACCATTCTTAGGTAAGTCCTATAAAAAAATTTTTTAATATTAATGTTTTTTTAAAGAAATCAATTAATTACTATCGTTTGAAGTCATTACGTCAACATCCTTAACGAATTTGAACTGTTCTAGCCTTTTGATCATAATACTCTAATACCATAAGCAAGCTTTTGACATTAAGGCAATGTACTAAAGATCAGACAGATAATCCAGAAGGATATCTGTTGCAATCCTCGGATTGAACATCACATCTATCAAAGGCTATAACACTTAGATACGAGATTGAAGCCACATTCTTCCAGCCATTTTATGACATTCAAAACTGATGCTGACTAACTGTACGAGAAAGTACACTAAAGAGCCCAATCCTAGCAAATTCGAAGGCTTCTAATCTTTTCGAAACCCACAAGACCAAGCTCAAATGATTTCCCGTTGGTATGATTGACTTCAATCGTTTCCCTTTTAACAATTTCATGTACTGTTTAACATTCTTTTCAAAGTTCTTTTTATCTTTCCCTCACGGTATTTGTTTGCTATCGGTCTCTCGCCAATATTTAGCTTTAGGAGAAATTTACCTTCCATTTTAAGATACCTCGTCAAACATTTAATAATTTACACCTCAAGAATTTTTTTTGATAATTATTATTTTAAATAATTTAGTGATCTTCTTTTAACATAAGGATATCCTATCCGGTTATGTCTTCAAATCTTTTAAATTTATAAAATTTTCCTGTAAAAGAAAATTTTATTTTCAGTTTATTGTTATTCCAAATCTATAAAAATTGAAAAAAAGTAAAGGATGAAGATTTAATTATACATTTCTTTCACATGGACCAAAATAGATCAAATGATTCTCACATATAATTTCTCAAAAATTGAAAACGAACCAGCAAGATAATCCAAAGCGTCTACCAATTCCAACAAAACTATTCCTAGTTAAAACATAGATACTATCCTTTAGCAGAGTTTTTTTTTTTAGAATTACAATTGCACTGCTCAAATGACAAAAGCATATCCTCACCGTTACCTACCCAGCCGAAATTGAGATTCATTCAAATTTTCTTTTTGTTGCCAAGATTTATCACCAGAAACAACTTGAACAACACCATTTCCACCACCATGTTCTGTTAAAGTAGAATGTTCATTTGAGATTTGTTGACTTAGGCATCATTTATGATTTGTAAAGGTGAAGATCTAAGCTCTTTCTTATTTTTGAAATTTTAGCAAACGTTGAAGATAGTGGTGGCATTGGAGCTAATGAGTCCGCTGACAAATGATTGGATGAAGTGGAGTTGCAAGTGGAATTGTAGAAAATGATCTATGTGGATTTATATATGCTTGTTCAACTTTGAATCCTTGTCTCATTTGCAATCTCAAACAACTCGACTCTTGGAGAACGTATCGTAGAGCACCCTTAAGATTAATTATGAACAGGATTCTCACCCTCTATGATATCTTATCCCAAAGGATTTAGGCTAATCCTGGACACAGAAAATGTTTTTTCAAAATACAATTCTGTTAGGTAAAACCCAACAGATTTAAAGTTTGAGCTTATCCCTCTTCGCTCGCTGTTACTGAGGGAAACATTATTATTTCTTTTCCTCTACTTATTGAAATGCTTAAGTTCAGCGGGTATTCTTACCTGATTTGAGGTCAAAAGTTGAGTGTCATATATGAATGAGCCTGACAAGCAGGTCGAACGTTAAGGTCAAATGTATTACATGAGATGGTACATCAATCACGTGTTCTTAATTAATACTGTACGCTTTTAAATCGTATCAGATTGATTGAATTTTAAGCCACTTTGATATGAATTAATATATGAAAGACAGCTCAATTTCAACGCAATCACCCAAACAAAATATAAAATATTTCATAAAAAGTGATGCCTCGATTTGAAAAAGGCTTTGATCGTGATTATGAATATGAATTGAGGAAAATTGGTTTTAAAAAGGTAGGAATTTCTATTTTTTTTTTTTTTATATTTTTTTCAGCGGATTTTTTTTTAGATTGTGATCAACAATAATATCGTGTGATGATCAAGATGATCAAGATGATCGAGATGTCAATTCATTTGAATTTTTTAAATTTTGAATTTCATTCAGTAAAATAATTTTAATTATAATATATAAATAATTTAGAAAGAAGGTAAGGATTACATAAATTTTTTTCTCTTTTTTTTATAATATACTGGAGTTTCTATTTAATAGTAAATTTTTTTTAATAATCAAAAGTATACAAGAATAGAGATACATATATAGCAGCAGCTGTTGCATTTTTCTTTTTTACTCTAATGTTTTAAATTTTTTATACTATAATGATTATTTCTGATATATTTTTTTAAAGTATTGCAATAATTAAAATTTTACTTTTTTTATTTCAAGTAAGTTTCTATTAAAAAAATTTTAATTTGATTTTCAAGTAATATAATATTTTAAAAACATGAATTTTTTTAATATAGATTTAAATACATAAGGAGTGTATATATACAAAGTTGTTGCAGTTTCAAGTAAGTTTTTTATTAAAAAAATTTACAGTTTGAATTTTATGTAATATAACAGTTTTAGAAATATGAATTTTTTAATATAGATTAAAATATATTTACGAGAAATGAAAAATACAAAAAAAAAGAAAATTAGAAAAAAAAACAGGTAATACATGCTAATATTTTAAAGTTTAATACAGAAGGTAATCACGGATACCCGAACGATTAATTAAACTATTTGAATATACTTATTATATTAACATTTTTTTAGAATAAGCAAAAA